ATGACTGGCATATGCGCAGCCCGTTCTTATATACAATCCTCATCGCTTCTACCTCTATAGTTCTGCTAACACGACCAGACACCCACGGTACCGTCTCTACGTCCTTCAACCAGATAGCCATCCTTTATTCTGACGTGTTCAATGATGGAGTGTGTCGTCTTGTCGTTCTCGTCAGCTCCGGGTCCGCAGTCCCAGTGCCTTCCGTCTGTCTTGTCGTAGACCTTGACTACGTCTGCACCTGCTGCAGACACAATTCGTCGCGAGTCGAACATCATGCTGCTAATGGCGTGGTCGTAAGCGTAGGCGTCGGCAATGGCGCCGGTTCGGAGATCCCAGATCTGTGCATGTTAGTTGGGGAACAGTTGGAGGGAAGATGGTTGACTTACGCGTATACTCCTGTCGGCACTACCGGTCACGAGATGGACATCGTCGAACTGCAGGGCTGTGACAGGGCCTGTGTGGCCGACGAGACTTCGGTGAACTTGCCCGCTACGCAAATCCCATAGACGTACCATACCGTCGGCGGTACCACAAGCAAGTGCAGCATCGAAGCACTGTATGGCGCCTACAAAGTCGGCAGAGGAGTCGGCAGAGCGTCCCGTCTGTCGCCATGTGCTGTTGGACGTGTTCGTAGCTGTGGCTTGGGCGGCGGCCCAGAGGACATCAAGCGTCTGTACGCATCGTCCCTTGACCAAATCCCATTGCCGTAGTGTCTTATCTGCAGAACCGGAAACTAGAGTGTCGCCACGGAAATGTAGCGCAGTGACTTCGTCGACGTGTGATTCGAGGGAGAAGAGAGGGCAGTCCTGCATGCTGGTCGACGGTGGCGCAGGGGGTGCGTCTTCCGAGTTCTCAAATGCCAGGCCATCGTCGCTTTCTTCATCGGGCTTGTTTATCCGGTTATCCATGGGCGCGTATTCGGCCTTGCTCAGGTCCCAGAGTTTTATCGAAGCGTCCATTGAGCCGGTCGCGACGATGTTTTCCTCGACCTGTAAGCAGCGCACGGAGGAGAGATGACCCTCGAGCATTCCGATGCACCGTCCGGCGCTCAGATCCCATACTCGTACTGTGTCGTCTAGCGATGCGGTCACCATCATGCCCCACGGAGCGTCAAAGTCCATGGCGGTGATGGCGTCCATGTGCGCGGGCAGTTCCTTGATCTTGGATCCTGACTGTAGATGTTCGTGTAATACGGGCATGGACATTCTCTTTGACAGCCTCTTGGCCTTGTTCTTCGTCTTGGGCGAGGAGGGTATCTTCTGGTATATCGACTCGGACATGAATTCGCCCTTGCCTTCTGACTGCTCGTCGCTTGTCTGCGACCCTGCCGTCTTGGGCGCCAGTGCAGCCTCGTCGTCCAGCTCTTCTTGCAGGTCCTCGATGCGGTTGTCCACGGTCAGCAGGTCCTGCTCCAACTCGCCCTCTTCGATTTCGAGCCCCGCCAGACGGTCGAGGACCATCTTGCGCATGGTATTGAGGTTGGCGATCTTGTTGTCGATTTCGTGTATCTCGGCGACGCACATGTGCTTGCGCACGCCCATCATCTCGAGGCGGTGGCCCATGCTGTTGCGCTGCTTCCGCAGCTTCTGCATCGAGGGGGGCACATTGGGATCGTCGTCGTCTTCCCCGCCCCCGATCAGGCGCTGGCCGCGCGCGTTGTGGCGGCCGTGTTTCTTCGCATGGCTGTCGGGGGCGTCGGGCAGCGAGGCCTCGAAGCCCTGGAAGAGGGAGAACTCGGCGTTGTCCTCGGGGATGTTGGAGAGCAGGTCGTTGGGGATGTAGGCGAGGGCGCGCTGCTGGATCTCGGGGACGGAGATTCGCGAGCGCACGATCTCGCGGGGGGTGGTCTGGGCGAAGGAAAAGACGGAGCGCTGCATCAGCGGGCGCCTGAGCTCGCGGTGGAGCTCGCCAATGGCGTTCTGGTAGTGCTGGGTGACTCCTTCGGCGCCTATCAAGCTGCCGGCGGTGGCTGTGACTTTTTTGCCAAAAGCTTGCAGATGGCGGGTCTAGCGAGCATTAGCATCACCGTGGGCTCAGGGAAGGTGCGGTGGGGCTACATCGGGGAGCGAGTCTATGAAGCTGCTCTCGTCGTCGTCGTCAAAGGCCTGCGAGTACCGCGGTGAGCGCGGGCTGGTGGACCGGCCGCGCCCTGGGGATCCATTGCGGGCGGTGGACGAGGCCATGCGAGCAGGCGTGGCGGGAGACTCAACGGGCGGCGCAGTGGAGGAGACGTCGCTAGGGCATCCTTATCTTCGCATGAGGATCTCAGATCAGGTGCTCGCGTGTGCTACAAGAGGCCAATAGGCGGTGAGGCGGGAGGCGGGAGGCGCGTCGGGTGCTCGAGATGGTGATAGTGGTGTTGCGGAGGGGAGTGACTATCGAGCTCACCAGTCGGCACCCGCCTGCGTCATCCGCCGAAGAGCACGCCGATGCTCGGGACACGACCGGACTGCCATGGCTGCAAACATCACTCACCCCCATATCTGCCCTTTTGGGAGCTTGAGAAGGAGCTATGGACGCGATTGACCTCTCCGACGCGTCCAAGGCGCTTGACCTGGCCAACATCCGCTTCCAGCTCATGTACGCCTCCCCGCCATGCGCGCCTGAGTCTCACTGACAGCACACAGTCGGCTCGAGGACACAATCACCTTCCATCTGATCGAGCGCGTGCAGTTCCCCCTCAACCGGACCATCTACGTGCCCGGCGGCGTCGACATTGGCGAGCCCGAGACCAGCCTGTTCGACTGGATGCTCCGCGAGCAGGAGCGCCTGCAGTCCCTCGTCCGCCGCTACCAGTCGCCCGACGAATACCCCTTCTTCCCAGAGGTCCTCCAGGAGCCCATCCTCCAGCCCCTCAACTACCCGCAGATCCTCCACCCCAACGATGTTAACGTCAACGCCCAGCTGAAGGACTGCTACATCAAGCACATCCTGCCCGCCGCATGCCTGCAGACAGACCGCGAGGACAGGGGAGAGTCGCAGGAGAACTACGGGTCCTCTGCCACCTGCGATGTCATGACCATCCAGTCCCTGTCACGGCGCATACACTTTGGCAAATTCGTTGCCGAGGCCAAGTTCCAGCAGGAGACGGAACGCTTCGTCAAGTTGATCAAGGACGAAGACAGGAAAGGCATCGACGAGGCCATCACAAATGCTGCGGTGGAAAAGAAGGTGCTGGAGAGACTGAGGTTAAAGGCCAAGACGTACGGCACAGATCCGGACCTGGGCGCGAACGGGTCGTCCAAGGTGAACGCAGACGCCGTTGTCGGCATGTACAAAGTACGTTCATTGATCTCATTCATCCATACCGCGTACTGACAGATAACACAGGACTGGGTCATTCCCCTGACAAAGGAGGTCGAAGTGGAATATCTCATGCAACGACTAAAAGGCACACAATGGGAATAGACCCGCGCACGATCAAGAATAAAAATACTGCCCAATACCCTGACCCAAACCGCCTTCACACTCGAGATACGTAACTGGCATGGACTGTTCGTCACAAGTTCCCCTCTCGCTCATCCGTCGCCCTACCAGCATACTAATCAAGACTCGACCCGTCTAGTCCAGCTCATGGAACTTAACAACGTGGGGCTTCTGGGCTTCGCATTCGAGCTTGGAGTCTTTCCGCGAGTCAATCTGGGTACGGCGAGCCTCCTCTTTCCACTCATCTAGCTTCTGCTCCAGCCTCCTCTCACACGTGCTGGAGTATTTCCGCCAGATCAAATGCCCAAAAGCGCTGCAAGTCATCGCCAAGTTCATCGCAGCCATCAACGCAGGTAACGATTCGATGGACGGACCAGACTGACTCAACAAGAAGCCCATCGTGATTCCAGTAACCAGGCACAGTCGCTGGTAATAGTCCCCTCGGTTCATGTCGTACTGCATCCAGTAGTCCAACATGGACATGACCGTGACGAAGATAACAAAGCCAGTTGACGGATTGGTGACGATCCTCGGTTGTCTTGCAGACCGACACTTATCGGTCGATTGCCGGCAGCCGTAGTAGTTCTTCACGATGTTGTGCAAGCCCCATTGCCCCCAGGCGAGCATGCATGTCATTTTAAGATTGGAATTGCGTCGCAGCTCGATCACGCCATAGACACGTCCGGCGAAGGGTATCCGGTTTCTCATGTGGTCGAGTACGATCGGTTCAGGCTGGCGCACCTCCTCATACGCAGTTCGAGCCTCGGGAGTCTCAGCAACAAATACCACCGGTCTTGTCGATGACTTGTCGTAAGCGCCTTCTGGTTTCGGATCAGTCGGCAGATCTGCGCCCTCTTCTGAAGACTTTTGGAAATTCTTCTCTGGGTACAGTGCCTTTGGCCGCATACGAAAGCTATACACATTTGACTTCGTGATAGCTCGGAACTTTGCTGGCCAGTCTTCAGCCGATTCCTTTGTCTCTGGGTAGACGAGCATTACGTCGAGACCAAAGTCTTCGGCGCATTTCTCGCTATCGCAAGGCTGGACATGACGAGGAGAAGCGCGGGGAAGGTACTTTGAGAGGCTGGAGATGCCTGGCATTGTCGCTGATGGAGGGGTAGTTGTTGCGGAATCGCGTGCGTAACCAATGAATCTTGTTGTTATTGGAAATCCAAAAAGCAAAATAGGGAAAGTGTTCTAGGCGTTCTTGGGAGACGACCTCTTATTTGAGTTGGGAGAGGTATATGACGTTCGGCTAGGTGTTGTGCTGATCGGTGTACATCTTACGAAGTGCTGACCGGATTGTCGGCATTACAGCTATCTATTGGCATCGTCTGTTTGGTCGCGATTAACCTGCACCACATATGGGCAGGCTTTAGGCTGGGATACTACGTCAGAGGCTTGGCTTTACATGCTTCTTCGCTCCGACCATTGCAAAGTACTTGGGGATGTTGCTGAGTGGCAGATAATGAAATAAACGACGACATTAATGAAGCAACTATCGTTTCGTCGGAACTATAACACAACATAATGAATTGGAATTCGTCGAGAATTTCGTAGATCAACCTCCCATATCACTCAACTTCGTCTGCCCTATCAAAGTAGTCCGCCGATGGCGTGTAAGGCTTCCACCACAGTGTAAAACCATCCTTGGCCGCCTTGTACTTCTTCATCCCAGCCTCCTCATACCGCTTGCCTTGCTCTTTCGACATACTGAAGCCGATGATTGCATGCGATGCATGATCAAATATGCTTGCTGTAGATTTTCGCCTCTGCATCATCACTCCAGCGAAGATGCCATTGAGAAGAACCTTAGGGGGGTTGGAGAAGCTGGTAGGGATCCATGTCTCTTCTGTGTCGCTGGAAGATACGGGGGGTGGTCGAGGATGAGAGCGAAGCGTGTCGTTCTTGGATAACTTCGTATCGCTGGCCTTGCTGTTGGATTGCTGTTTGGTGTTGGTGGGGACTTGGATTGCAGATCCCTCCATCTCAAGGACCGTAGGCTTTCGCTTCTTTTTGCTGGATACGTGACTTGCAGTTGCTACAGGCGTTCTTTCCGTCTCGTGCATGAGAGGAGAGCGTTTTGTTGTTTTGGGCTTTGGGTTGCTTTTGGTAGATTGAGTTGATGTGACCGGAATGAAGAGCTCGTCGGCCATACTGATTTCATTGCCGGCTTTCGACTTCCCAAGATTTTTCGATATTCGAGGATGCTTGGTTGCGAATGGTAGTTCAGCGTGTCCCTGATTGGGTTTGGTACGGTGCGAGAGATGAGTTTCGTTGGTTCTGCGGGCGTCGTCTTTAGATTTCTTGGACGCCATTTCATTTCGGTGCGCGAGCTTTTGCACGCCAGCTGGCATATTGCTGCGATTGAGGGTCGACGCATCGAGCACAGTTTGTACTTCAGGAAGACGTCTTGGAACCTTCTTTCGGCTCTGAACGATCGTCGGGGAGTTGCTGGTCTTCTCATTGTTGCTGTACGGGTGGTGGGTGTTCGTTAGCTGATAATTGTTGGTTGCTTGATGGTCGTATGTAGATTGATAGTTGTTGTTGGGTTGATAAGCTTGGTAGGTGCTGTGATGGTGGATAGGTGCGATGTTCTGTCCTTTTTTGAGCTCCGTCCACCCTCCCGGGCTACTCCGCGTACTCGTCAAGACGTTTTCTTGCTCATGGTGTGTAGTGCTGTCATTGTTGCACATGCCGCTGTATCCCACAGATTCTACTGAGGTGTCTGCCCCAGCGCCCTCTCCAATCGAGACATCTGCTTCACTATCCGAGCCGCTTTCATCGCTTACTGGGTTGATGATTCCTTCGTCGATTGATACTGCCTCGCCATCTGAGCTAATATCGTCACTTTCTGTGTCATTCACCTCCTCATCATCCCCTTGGTCTGGGCCACTAATATCGCCTCCTGTGTCATTCACCTCCTCTTCGTCCTCTTCGTCTGAGCTACTAGTATCGCTTTCCATGCTACCTGTCTCGAGCTCTCCATCCTCCTCGTCATCATCGCTTGGTGACATCGAAAGATTTTCGCTAATCACACTGTCACTAAGCTCACCATCCGTGTCATTTGCTGAAGCATCATCGGGAGCTTCATCGCTTCCATTGCTCTCACTGTTCGCGTATCGGTCCTCACCACTTCGCTCACCCCCACTGCCTGTGTAATCGTTGTCGAGGTCATCCTCGCTATGGCCATAGCTAAAATTGCCTTCCTCGTCATAGGGTTCTTCGAGCTCAACAGAATCCATGAGTCAGGCAGACAGACAATATCGGAACGGATAGGTAGCGTAGCGAGAGCCGATAGAACCGCGAGTGACGAGCATGAAACAGTGCCCATGCCGACTGTTTATACTCAAGAGAACGTCTGGGGAAGCCAGCATCCTGCGTACGTACCCGTTGTTGGGAGATTTTTTGTTCCGCGCGTACTTCATTCCATGGATGCCGCCCCCGATTTGCTGACTTGGGTATCTTGTCCTTGTGGTCCGACCGGTGAGCAACGGCAGCAGCACGGGTACTTACTGTGGTACACCTCCTCTTCTTGCGACACATTCCGCAATCAGTAGATTGTAAAGATACTCGTAACTGACTGCGTATGACAGATGGTGGTATATCTCGGATTTTCTTGCCCCTACATGCAAGTTTGCTTCTGAAAGTTCGATCTCCAAATTTGCAACACTGGAAAATTCCTGCATCATCTTGCGTCAAACGAACTTCCAAACTCACTGGATGTACAACACAGGTACATATGGTGTACTCTTCAGTGTCGTTGATCCGGTCTTACCCCTCCTTCTGCTCATGTGTATTATGGCAGGGTCTTACGTGTCACCTTGTGTAAGACGTGTGCCCTTACTGATCCGCTAGCACCCAGCATCAAAGATGGTCGAATGGCTCCAGCCACGTTCATGAGCGGTAGAACTTGAAGGATTTGCCAACCAGCTTTCGCTGATCACGAAGCGAGTGTCTCTTCCTTGTCCATAGATCCGCAGTAAGAGTATTGTCTGACTTCGTACATCGTTACCGCGTCCATACATTCAATGGTTTATCGGTCCTATCGACGCCAGGACAGTACTGTCTACCCGACAGCCTCCGACATATTAGCAAGATGTTCGGTGATCCATCGAAATTAAGGCAGATGCCGTCAGGTCTCAAAAGCAACAAGGAGATCTCCGAGAATGACGGAACGGAACCGTTAAATATTCGAGTGCCGTCTCAGATCTCTGTGTACCTTGATAGTCGCCTTGCGCACGGTGGGTGCAGTGAGTTTGAGTTCATTGCCACGCATGCCAGTCCTTGAAGGTAGATGTGCACCTGGGTCGTAAAGTTTTCGTTCAGCGTTGAGCGCGAGCCCACGATCGCGGGTCCAAAAATAGCAAATATAGCGTGCCGCCGGACAGACTCCGATGGTGCGTCAGTGGTGTTGGTGTCATTGTTTAGCTCCTGGCTCCGTCTTTGAGCGTGGACCCTGGGCGCGAGCCAGGCAGGTGATCGGCAGCCACAGCCGCAACAACCGGCTCGATGATGCCATTCCTTTCAGATGCCACGGCTCGACTTTCCACCATCTCGGTCCAACCCCAAGCGACGTCGTATTTCGATCCTTCGTTCACGAGTGATCTCCATGCTAACCTTGGAATTATTCAAGGTGATGGAGGCAACCCCGATTACTGATATTACGCTCGTCCCCACACTCGGACCACCCATTTCTGTGGACGATGAGGTCGTTCGGGAACGGACCGATCGAACTCTACGAGATTGCAGTCATCATTCATGCGGCCGACTTGCTCAGGTCCACAGCACTCAGGCTCGACTTTAGGAACATAGGGCGTCCCTTTTACGCTTCCAATGTGTCGCTAAGCTACCTAGGTATAGTCGTTGGCGAGCACTCTGGGGTATACCGCGTCAATATGAATGTGGAAGAAGCAGTCGCCTACCATCGCATGTACGGTGTTGCAACAGCAGCTAGAATACATATAGCCCTGGACGTCATGCCGTTAGTTTTCCGAACCAAGGCCCTGCACAGCCGACCGGCCAGCGCCCAATGCCACTCTGCATGCCTGGTTCATACTACTAGACGTCACATCTCGTATGTTTAGCACGATCCAAGCTCGGCTAGGTCTGCCAACTGCCCAAAGTAGGACATGCCTGACGCCTCATCCGGTCACCCCGGATGTCGCTACTGGTTCGTGACACCGTTGGCAAGGATACTGAGGCTCCAAAATTGGGGTCGAGTGTGCTTTCGGCGCTCTCGGCATCGTCTGATGCTCGTGTTCCTGGAGAAATTTCATGGTACACCTTTCTCGTATGTTCTAGCGGGTAAGGTCAAGGGTGACGCCTGGTGTCAATCTTCTCGTATTGAACCTTGGGACGAGACGGACATGATGATCGTGGCAGGAGTACAGTACCCCAGATACGAGATGGGATGACTATATAATGCCAGTGAGTATCTCACTTTCTAGCCACCATCAACCACCAACTCTCACACTCAACTACAACCTACCACACTTTCCAACACTTCATCCCAACTTCAAACCAACTCCATCAAGATGCAGTTCACCACCATCGCTTCTCTCTTCGCTGCCGCTGCCGTTGCCAGCGCCGCACCTCTCGAGGCCCGCCAGGTCGACGCATCCTGCCCAGTTGCTACCCAGGGTGACTACGTCTGGAAGATCTCCAACTTCTTCGGACGCAAGCCTGAGGGAACCTACTACAACAGCTTCGGCTTCAACATCAAGGCTACCAACGGAGGTACCCTCGACTTCAACTGCTCTTCCCAAGCCGACAAGCTTGAGGACAACAAGTTCTACTCTTGCGGCGAGAACAGCTTCATCGACTTCGCTTTCTCAAGCGACCGTGATGGTCTGATCATCAAGCAGGGTGTCAGCGACGAGTAAGCTTCTCCCACACCTTTGAATGCATGACCTGTTCAAATTTGCTAACATTTCCTCAGCCTCACCTATGTCGGTACCACCACTCTTCCCAGCTACTGCCGTGCCGGTGGCAACGGCCCCAAGGACTTCGTCTGCCAGGGTGTCTCTGATGCCTATGTCACCTTCGTCCCGCTTCCCGCCGCCGCCGCCCCTGCATGCCCGGCACCCAGCCAGTACTGAGCATAGGCTATGACCTTTCTCGGTGTTCATGGTTATCTCAGCGCTTCCTATATAGACATTCCTTAGAATCTAGACCTAATGCAACATTAATTTCTTCATCACTTTTGCCACTATGACTACGACGACGGCATCGTGCTACATTTGTGTGAGACAATACTCGAGCTGCGAGTAGACAAAACGACTAAGCCATCGTAAAACCAACTTTCGAATTGAACATCGCGTGTGGGGCACTGAAGCAAAGAGTAACGAAGTGCTGGACGCGCAAACCTCGCGCTTGCCGTAAATAGCACAACACCAGCGCGCGAGCGCAACAGCGTCTGACTCCATACAAAACGTGCAGTCCACGTCAAACCACCATCCACAGCTCGCACGAGAAAAATGATGCCTGAAACACACGTCGCGCGAAACTGCCATCCTTGAAACCTCAAACCTCCTTCCCACGTGACACGCGACGCGAACTATAACACCATCGTTAACCCCCGAACTTGCCATCACCAAAACCGCGTGCAACAAACGCCGCCATGTCGCTCCTCGCCCGCGCAAAAGATCTAGCCTACAATCCCGATCACACGAGATGGATGACTCCGCTCCTCCTCGTAGCAGACGCCGCGCTTTCAGGCGTGATAATCGAGAAGATACCTTGTTCGTGCTCCTTTCTTACTCACCGAAAACGCACCACGTGTCCTAACAGCGAGGTTTCTAGATACTGAGATTGACTGGACGACGTACATGCAGCAAATAGCCATCTTTCTGAAAGGCGAGCGCGACTATAAGAATATTGCTGGTTCGACAGGTCCGCTCGTGTACCCTGGTGCCCATGTGTGGATCTACAAGCAGCTTTACAAGTGGACGGATGAAGGGCGGGATATCGCTCTCGCGCAGTATATTTTCGCGGGAGTATATCTGCTTACGCTTGGTGTGGTGTTTCAATGTTATAGGAAGGCGCGGGTGAGTACTTTCCCAATCTAGCTGTTATTGTTGGAGGGGGTCATCGAGTGGAAGCTGACATGTTGGCAGGTTCCACCGTACATTTTCCCGCTGTTGATTCTTTCGAAGCGCATGCATAGCATTTTCATGCTACGATGCTTCAATGATTGTTTCGCGGTGCTGTTCTTCTGGCTGGCTGTCTTCTGCTACCAACGCGATCAATGGCATCTGGGGAGCGCGCTGTATAGCACAGGGCTGAACGTCAAGATGAGCCTATTGCTGCCTCTACCAGCAATGGGTATTCTCATGGTCATGAAACTGGGTGGAAGAGAAGCCTTGACACAGGCCATGATCATCGTACAGGTTTCGGTAAGTAATTCATCGATCACGGAGTGTTATCAATTGATGCTAATCAAAATGTAGGTTTTGTATGGCTACCCCTTCAGGAAGCGCGCACCAAGCTATTTCGCCCGCGCTTTCGAGCTCAGCCGTGCCTTCCTGTACAAATGGACCGTAAATTGGCGCTTCGTCCCGGAATCTACGTTCCTCTCACGCCCTTTCGCCATTGGCTTACTCGCTCTGCATGTTGGCCTCCTCATCTGGTACGCGCGAACCCGCTGGATCAAGCCCTCGAAGCGCAATGTCAAAGAATTCCTTAAGCTCTGTATTCCAGCTATTGAGCCTCGGGATCAGGACACCATGTCCAGCAAAACCACCCCAGATTTCATTATGACGACGATGCTGACCGCGATGACCATTGGCTTACTGTGCGCGCGTAGTCTACACTACCAGTTCTACGCGTATGTCGCGTGGTGCACGCCGTTCTTGCTGTGGAAAGCAGGGTTCAATCCAGCCGTGGTATATGCATTATGGGGCGCGCAAGAATGGGCGTGGAATGTGTATCCGAGTACATCGGCAAGCTCGGCGACGGTCGTGGGCGTTCTAGCGATTACGGTCGCGGGCGTATGGTGGGGAACGAGGAAGGAGTACGAGGGCGTGACGAAGGGTATAATTGAGGAGGACCATGCGCACGCCGAGTGATGCGACGAAGAGCTCAGTCCTCGTCTGAGTCGCTGGGCGGCATCTTGCCGACAGTCGATTCCTCGTCGTCGCTATCCTGAACGTACGTGGACTTCTTTACGAACTCCTTGGGCCTGTATACTATTGTTAGCGCTCTGTACACATACTACTTGATACCCGGCTGGAACATACCAGTAGCTCATTTTCCTCCAAGCCTTCTCGTCGCGCACCACGTTCACGATCTCTCCATCCAGCTTGTTCTCACGGTCCGCCAGAGCAGACATATCTATAACCACGTAACTGCCCCTCTTGATCCATACTGTTGATCTGAACCTCGCTTCCAGCTCTGCAAGGACAGGCTTGCCATCTGGCAGCTCGGCGGCATAGATGTTCTTGCCTTCAGCTTTGGTGATGCGCGCGATCGCGTGATTTGGCGCCAAAGCGTCGGGCGGTGTGATTGTGCTGTCTATGGTGGCAAGGACATTGCGCTTTGGACGGGCCATGTTGGGGTTGAGCTTTGGTAAGCAAGGTGGAGATGAAGCGCTTGTGGTAGTTTTGGAGACAATATGGGAGGGGTGGTCGTGAATTTCAAAGCAGGAAGGTGTGGCCGAGCCCGGTGGGGAAGTTGTCCCCGCCCCTCGGAGCCCCAAAAGTTCGCACTTTCACCACCTTCTGGGTATTGCGCCCTTTCTGGTCACTGGCCTAGACCCAATCTCTCTCCGACTGTCGGATCCATTGCCAGGAATGAACAGCTATCTGCACCGTTAGACGCGTCTGTCCCTGCAAAACGTTTTACAGGCTTTATGATCGACTTGCTTACCGACCGTCCACCATCTCCATACTGCTGCAGCGCGACCACACGATACTTACCCGCCAGCTGTGATAGGCCCCAAGTCGGAGCCGGCGCGTGTTTATCTGGTAATGTAGGGTAATTGTGCATCCCATGATTTATCAGCGATAGCGCCCTCAGCCTTTGCAATGGCCAGTAGCGTTCTCGTCGAAAGCTTCGTGGACTACCGTATTAAGGGTCTAGGGTCTCCCGCACTGGCACGTCGTCCCTCGGGCTACTTCCTTATTTATGACTCTTGCCTTCGCATTTGCACTGAACTTGAACGCCCAACTACTTCCTACTACCTGAGACGCACAATCAGAACGAACGCTTCCAAGGCGCGTAGTCCAGGGCTTTTGCATCCTCTTCGAGTTCGCAAAAGGACACCGCAGATCGGGAACTTGGAGCCATGTCGTCCAAACTTCACAGTCTCTTCGACATTCAGCCTGCCTCCGTGACCAACCCGGAACCGACATACCAGAAGAGCAAGGGCAAAGCACCTCAAACGCTCGGCGATGTAGGTGTACTACCGGACGTCGAACTCGCGGACTTTGCTTCTCGCAAACCAGACGATAGCCGACAAGCATCGTATGCAGAGCATGAATTGCCCAAGGGCGCGCAGACCCCGAAAACCCCCAATGAACTCGAGATGAGTCGTCCGGCCACACCGAATCGAGAGGATGCAGTCGGTACTATCAGGACCTGGAACGCTCAACCGATGACCAAATGGAGGATCCTTTGCTGTTGCTTGATCTACTTTTCAAACGGAATCAACGACTCGGGTGAGTTGAGACATTGATATAGACCTTCCGTTTTTGGATTACTTGATCAGGATCTAGACTAACCAGTGGTCAGTCGTCGGTGCTTTGATTCCGTACATGGAGTCGTACTACCACATCTCGTACTCCATCATGTCTCTGGTGTTCGTTAGTAACGCCATCGGTTTCATCTCTGCCGCCTTCTTCACGAATACGATCCTAGGCAAGTTCGGAAGGGCAAAGACTCTGATCATAGCAGAATTGATACAGTTGTCCGCATACGTTATCCTTGTTTGCACACCTCCGTATCCTTTGGTCGTTGTATCGTAAGTATTCGATATTAGAACTCAGTAACCCACCGCTGATAATGTCAGTTTCTTCCTCTTGGGATTCGGTGCAGCCATCAACTTGGCCCTCAACAATGTCTACTGTGCGAATACCCATCCACCTTCTGTCATTCTTGGCCTCTCGCATGGCAGTTATGGCGTCGGTGGAATAGTCGCACCCATAATCGGAACAGCAATCGTCTCACAAGGAATTCTGTGGTCGCGCTTCTACTTCCTTACTGTCGGACTGCGACTTTGCTGCATCGCTTTCGCAGCATGGTCCTTCTGGTCATACACGGAAGACTCTGAGGAGACACTCTTGGAGACCACGACCAGTAGGCAAACTGCTGCGGAAGATGCCGCTTCCAAGATGAAGATCCTGAAGCTCGCTTTGAAGAACAAAGTCACCATCTTCGGCGCCTTGTTCATCTTTGCATACCAAGGAGCCGAAGTGAGCATTTCAGGCTGGTTCATCTCATACCTCATCAACTACCGTAATGGCGACCCTGCAAAGGTCGGATATGTCACAGCAGGCTTCTGGGTATGTGTACTTGCTGCATACTGTATCGCTTCTGCTAATTGCCGAATAGGGAGGCATCACGCTTGGCCGTTTTGTACTCACTCACGCTGCGCCCAGAATAGGCGAGAAGAGATTTGTCGTCATCCTCACTCTCGGCACCATAGCTCTTCAACTTCTGGCATGGTTGACACCAAATTTGATCGGAAATGCAGTCGCTGTCTGCTTGTTGGGCTTGTTGTTGGGCCCCGTCTACCCGTGTGCGCAGACCATCTTCTCGCGCCTCATGCCTCGTCATATTCAGACCACCGCAATCGGATTCATTGGTGGAGCAGGAAGCTCAGGTGGAGCGGTTGCGCCCTTCACAACTGGTGTTCTCGCGCAGGCTTCCGGTAAGCGACCTTTATTCTATGCGCAATCATCAGGATACTGATTCTTTAGGTACTTGGGTACTGCACCCCGTTGCACTTGGCATGTACGCTGTTATGCTTGCTTGCTGGTTCGCGCTACCCAAGGTGCGCAAGCGGACTGATTAGACTTCTCGACTTTGCGACAATGTCGGGCCTGGAACACACCGTGACCGAAGTGTTCGTCTAGTACGAGAAATGCGAAGGTTGATGATAGGCCACCATGACATCATTTTGAGACCACTAACATTGCGGGACCCGCGGAACGCGTTGTGTACCAACAGGATGACCACATCACGCTCAAGTATATAGCAAAGAGTACCTGCTTCTCCTGGATCGCTCACAAATTGGAAACCATTCTCAACAATATCCCAAAACACAATCTCCCACCGTCCAACATGTCCGCGACACAAACCATACAGATCTTGAGCATATCCACCGCGCTGTTGGCGTCGGGCGGCATCGCAGCATTATCTCTCTTCGACATCCCAATGTTACAATCACAGCCAGCATCTCGATCTCTTCCAATGATACGCTGGCTCTTCTCAAGAGGCTCCCACACGTTTCCAACAGCCGCAATCACATCCGCATCCGGCTTCGTGTATCTCGCTTACAAAGCTCTCCCACCATCTTCCGTCAACTCGATTTCCTCAATCATTCAGCATGCCGTCAAGGGCAAGCCAGGCCTTTATCTCGCCGCCGCCGCGCTTTCCTTCAGCATCGCGCCAATCACGGGTCTGGCCATGATACCCACGAACTTCGCCCTTATCAAAAAGAACGAAGAGTTGGGCGGGAGCCGAAGTAAGGCGTCTGCCGAGTACCGGGAAAAGTCTGGATCGAAAGAGCGAAGCGCTGATGAATCCGTGGACAGCAAGGATGACGTGAGTCAATGGAAGGATTTGAGTGTACCGCAAGAGGAAACGGAGAGGCAGAGTACCCAAGCAGAGGATCGAGAGGTAAATGAGCTGTTGGACAAGTTCGGCAAGTTGAATATGCTGAGGGCGGTAGCTATTGGCTCGGGTGGTATCGTGGGGTTGATGGCTGTTTTGGCGTAGGCTTTGTTGTGTTGCTATATAACCCGAAGTATCCGTAATCCAGCCAAGCACACCTAGCTTCCCGCAATAGGCGGCTCGCGTCATGTTCAACGAATGAGAGCGCATGCACGTTACGAGCACGACATTGATTGCACCGCTGACGTGAGCTGGCTGACTACCTGTTGTGTAAGATAGCGGAAGCGGAATGGGCACGGCGATAAGCATGTACCATGCGGAACATTCAGCTCGCTTTCAGCTCTTCGTGTCAGTATGTAGTACTATAAAGCCTTGATTAATTATCATAGCCGAATCTGGTCCAAACTTATCATTGCGACACCCGTGCAAGATGCATCGCATATTCCTCCTCCCAGAACTCCTCATCCAGATCGTCACTCTCCTCCCCCCTTCCGAAATTCCCGTATACGCCTCCGTCTCCAAACACTGGAGAGAAACACTCCGCATTAATCTCCCTCCGCGCCTTCTTCCTCTTCGCGACGCTTCATCAACAATCTCCCACTCTGCTACAAAGCCTGAGACCCTCGACAGACTACCGCAACCTGTTTCCTCTCTCGCCCAAGACATCCTCGCACGAACAACACAATGGATGAATCCTGGCTTGCCACTGGATATCTCGGATGACTACTACTTCTGGCACGAAGGCGCTTATGGGAATATTCTCTCCGCGCTTGTCCCGTTTTTGCATCCTTGGCTGGGGAAGCATGTTTGTGAGTTGATAGGTGGATTGGACGAGATGGCTAGGGGGGAGATGGGGATCTGTTTTAGGACGCGAATGAGTGTCAGAGAATTTGATGAGTGGTTCGCGGGGTGTGAGGGCGAGACAGAAGAGGGTAGAATTAGTATGAGTGCATACTTGACGAGACCTGTGACGCGAAGTATCGAGGTATATTGTGTAGAGGGTGCGGAGTGGGATCGGGAGTATCGGAATGTACTACACCGACATGGAAGAAGAGAGTGGCAGCAGCGATGTGTGAGGGTGGAGCGAGAAAAAGGCGTTAGGATGGGAGATGTTGCTGAAGAGTTGAGGACTGTCTTGAAGACTAGTAAAGTTGGGGCGCAAACTCGAGAGGCGATACAGGGAGCTGTGATGCTGGAGTGGAGATTTGAAGAAGCCGCAAGCAGAATGACATGC